GAGTTCAATTCCTTCTATCCTGACTGGCTCAAGGTTAATTCATCCTTCGGAGGTCAGTAAAATGAGGACCCAGATTGTTGGGGGCAATATGCTGACTCTGTAAACTGCTTAGGGAAGGCTGTAAAGCACTGTGAAGCGGTATATAAGTGTTGGTGCTGTTGCTATCCCAAAAGTGCTTTTTCAAGGGGCAACTGGACTTTCTTGTTCTCCTTTGAAGACGTTTCGCTTCTCATCCAAGAAGCTTCTACATCTCTCTGCTGTTGCTATTTGTAGTTTCAAACCATTGAAATAATCAGAAGTGTATGTCAACTCTGAAGCGAACCTGGCTGAAGCCATCTTGTGCTGCCTCATAGTTGCCATGAAACATGGAGGGGGGGGAATAGATAGCCCGGCTAATGGTCAAAACGAAAAGTTTTCCTGTGGGAACCAAGGTCATCCTAACAAGTGGCTGCTGAAGGAGGAGAGGAGCCCGCTAACTATATTCGTTGGATAATGTGACCAGTGGGAGGGGGGATTTTTACTCTTTTAATTTGAGAAAACCACAGTCAGCTTTTAGAGTTTGTTTTCACCAGCTGTGCTGATATGATGTATCCAATAAACATGTTCTTGGAGAAATCTTATACCTGCCTCCGAGTTCTGCTTTCAATGGGTGCGTTACTCAGAACGTTGACAGTGTCTTTCCTGCCCTCCAGGTATTCATGAAGGAAGCCACCCGACAGGTGATCCAGGACACCCTACACAAAGAAGTTATCCGGAAGATCATTGTCCTCCAGAGCTGGCTGCGAATGGTGCTGGAGAGGAGGCGCTTCCTCCGGACTCGGCAAGCAGCAATTACCTTGCAGGTATAGGCTCTGGTGGTGGTTGCCATCTTCCCTCATTTTTATCAGACACCTTTTCCTTCCCATGAAGACCTGTTCCTCCTCTGCATGTATCCATTGCAGGCATGCTGGCGTTCTTACTGTGTCGTCCGGAGGGCCCTGGAAAAAGAAAATGCTGCTATTTATATCCAATCGGTATGGCGTGGATACCGGGAAAGGAAATCATACCAGCAGCAGAAGAAAAGGGTGTGTCTCCTTCAGGCTTTGGCACGGGGGTATCTGCAGCGCAAGAGGTGAGCAGTGCCTGATTTTACACATCTCTTGAGCCTAAAGTCCTAAAATAGAAAGAATCTACTTAGATTAAAGCAGAAATCCATCAGGCGCAACATTTCATTCTTAGAAGAGCCAGACCAATGCTTCAAAGCCAAAGAGCAGATTTTTCATTTTACCTTTTCATCCTGTGTGGGGTTAGGGGGCAGCAGTAATAATAAAAGGATGCTGTGTATCCAGTTTGGCATTTTCTTTTTTGACTCTGCAACTTTTATTCTTGAGAGTGCCAGTTTGGTCTAGTGGTTAAAGCACCGATCCAGGAACTCCGAGGTTGTAGTCCCAGTTTAAGTACGAAGCCAGCTGTCAGGGTTCCAAGTAATATACCCATAGCAAGCAAAACTCCGAGGCAGGTGGATTCCTCAAAGAATAGTTTTATTGGGTCTATCATATTGGCACAGTTCTGATGAAAGCCAACTCTGAAAGTTCCTACAGTTTTCACCTAATTAAAAGTAAAAGTTTTCCCCTTCCCCAAACAATCAATCATATAGTCCAATCAAGGTGCCATCCAATTGCCTGGTAACATCACTCCTCCTCTCTCTGGCCAGATGTGAGAATGTCCTTGGTTTCCAGGTGAAAGTATTTTGTTTAGGCTACAAAACTCCAACTATCTCTATTCCCCCCTCTCTATCCCTCAGCTACAGTGTGGCAACACTGAAGCCTCAAAATGGCCTCGGTCAGGTCAGCTTCAGAGTTGACACCAGCTGGATGACCTTGGACTAGTCACTCTATCTCAGCTCTAGGAAGGAGGCACTGGCAAACCACTTCTAAATATTTTGCCAAGAAAACTGCAGGGACTAATCCAGGAGTCAAGACTGACTCAAAAGTTATATACACAAACACACAGAAACCATTCCTGGGTAAATTGCTTATTTTTTCCCCTTTAAACCCTTAGGTTTCAGCAAATGGTCGCAGAGAAAAAGCAAGAGGAAATAAAACAGGAACTTTTAAAGCAAGTTAATGAGTTGCTCCAGCCAAAGGAACCCATCTCAGACCAGACGGCTGTGGAACTCGAGGTGCAGCTGGATAAAACATCTGGGCTAACAGCAGAGGATGATGATGGAGCTAAAAATGCCCATGCCGAAAGCCAGTCTCCTCCTCTGTCTCAAAAGATCAACCGGAAAAAACGGGAGAACCGCCGACAAAGAGGATTGGAGCACAACAAGCTGCAAAATCAGCAAGTTGTTTTAGCATTTGAGGGGGGGGCTGAAGTCCCTCCCAGGGAAGATAGCCCCCCTCGCAACACAGCAGAGGAAGAAGAGACTCAAAAGCTTGAGCAACCCATAGGAGATGCCGCCGTTTCCTCTTCAGAAATGCTCCCCAAATGTGTCGAGGAAGAAGGAGCACCAGGGACTGACAATCACCACTTTCCTTTGGAGGGTGGCACACTGGCTCCCAGTCCAAGCCCGGGACTGAAACTGGAAAGTAGGGTGCTAAAAGAGGATACAAATGTACAGGAAAGACTGGAGAATCCCAAGATCCGGACCAGCCAAAGCTTCACATACCCTGAGAGGCCCACAGAGCTGGATCTAGCTTGGCCAAACAATCGGCAGATTCACCGGAGCTTCCGGAGCCACGCTGACAAAAGGAAGCAGCAGGCTGTGAAGGACTTAGGCAGCCCCACCTCCTTCCAAATTCAACGGTACCAGGATGACCCAGGCAAGCTGCGAGATAAGAGGGAGCGCTGGCAAGGAAAGAGGCAGCAGGTCAGCGGACAGAACAACCTGGTCAGCCAATCTTTGGAAGAGAAGAGCATCCCGGCCAAGCCTTCTTCTTCTGCACACTTAAAGTAAGACTCTGGGCGTTACATCTTTAATCCTGAAAAAGGATATGAGAAATTAAAAATTGGGAAAAATTAAATCTTGAGTACAAGTAATCCTCGACTGACAACAGTTCATTTAGTGACTGTTCAGAGTTACAACGGCACTGAAAAACCTATGACCATTTTTCACATTTATGATCATTGCCGCATCCCCATGGTCACGTGATCAAAATTCAGACATTGGACCGCTGACTCGTATTTATGACGATTGCAATATCCCTGGATCGTGTGATCCCCTTTTGCAACCTTCTGACAAGCAAAGTCAATAGGGAAGCCAGATTCATTTAACGATCATATTACTAATTTAACAACTGCAGTGATTCACTTAAGAACTGTGGCAAGAAAGGTCATAAAATGGGGCAAAATTCACTTAACAACTGTCTTGCTTCATGACATTAATTTTGGGCTCATTTGTGGTCGTAACTTGAGGACTACCTGTACTAATCTGAATTAGGTTTCCTACAAAAACCACTGTTTCCTAAGGCTGTGCTTCATTATACAATCACTTATGGTTTTCTATACAACTCTACCTACATCATGTAGTGCTTCTGTTTTAAAAAGAAACATTTCCCTTTGCCCCTGGAAGATTAATCTAAATGAGACCATGCAGAACAAAAGAGAAAGAATGAGAAAAGGGGAACTGAAGTTTTCATCTGTGATTTTGAGTTCATGAGCCACGGTAGCGCAGTGGTTAGAGTGCAGTACTGCAGGCCACTTCTGCTGACTGCCTGCTAACTGCAATTTGGTAGATCGAATCTCACCAGGCTCAAGGTTGACTCAGCCTTCCATCCTTCCAATTGCAATAAAATGAGGACCCAGATAATTGGGGGCAATGATCTCACTCTGCAAAACTGCTTAGAGAGGGCTGTAAAAGCACTGTAAAGCGGTATATAAGTCTTAAGTCCTATTGCTATTCCCATTCTGCTTTTTGGCTGAGAAGGATCTTCGAAGTGACTTATATCGAAAATATTTTCTTAAGACGGTGCTGCTGAAATTATACCAATCCAAATGCTTGCAGTTTTGTTGTTTTATTCTCTCTTCTAATTCACAGTGAAGATGGGAAATGTGGGTCCATTAGATGGATCTACAACTGTAGTGCATTTTGTACTAAAAATAAACTTGAGTAGAATGCAAAAACAACAACAAGCCATCTGTAGTTAGTTGCATCTACCATCATCATTTCAGGGGATTGGCAAAGGAAATTAAGGCATGTGAGGATTGCCTAATATGCAAAGGACCCTTGTTTATCATAGTTGTTCCAGGGAGACCAATACCCAAATAACTTTTAAAGGGGTAGCACCATTTGCTACCACTTTCAGCAGGTAACTCTGACTGTATTATCCTGATACAGCTAAAGGGTTAAGAACAGGCTGAAACAATTCCCCTCCTGCAAACATAACTGAAGGCATTAGGCATTAAGCAGCATTACTCAGGTAATACAGTCAAATAATCCTGGGGCATTTCTATTTTTTTCAGGGTAGGGTTGCTTAGCCAAGAAATACATCCTATAAAAGCACCGGGAAGCGGCATATAAGTCTAAGAGCTATTGCTATTATTGCAAATGGGTATTGACTTTCTTTGAAAAGAACAATTTTCATCAGCTTGCATTGCCTGCCTTTAAGTTCTATCTTGAAATTGTTTCAGTTTGAATGAGCAAGCAAGAGCGCATAATAATGGCCAAGGAGATCTGTCAAAATTTGTCCACACAGTATCACAACTCAAACGTTATTGGCCTCTAACAGGATCCTTTTAAAGCACAGGTGGTTTCATTCTGAAATACCTTTTTCCCCTTACAGGAAGAAAAAAACGGCTTCTTCCTTGGACGACATCCCCAAGATCACTCTTTCCACTTCACCAAGCCAGGTACCGCTTGCTGAACTAGACCTGTTCATTTTGTGGTCCTTGTAACTATAGCCACAGCAGCAAAGGAGCATTGTGCAAGAGAAAACAGCTCCCAGTAGCTTGAGCAAAAAATAACAGCACCAGCAAAATCTTAATGAAACCAAAATACATGCCTAGTTTGCTAAGAAGTGCTTGCATGCAGTGATAACAGATGCAATGTATTAAATCTGAAGACCATTTTTTGGTCCTAGACTATGGGGCATTACTGCAATTTTTTAAAAAATGAACTGTTTAAGAAGCTTTCTTAAATGCTTTGGGGTTTTTTAGAGGAAAATCTACAGCAGAAAGATTGGAGTGTACACTTGAAACATTTTTAGGCAGAAGGACAAACTTTTTTGTTTTCCACACATCATGAATATTCAGTGATGAGATTGTACATGTTGGTTTCCAATAATGGCCTTACTTGGAAGGTGATTTAGTGCCGTAATACAGTCGGAGAGCAAATGGCTTTTCCGACCGAATGCCCATAGCTCAAACCACCCCCTTTAATTTTACTTTAAAAGTGACTTCTGAAGAATTCTTATGTGTCAAAAGAGTCTGAAAAGGCTGAGTAGCCTACATATGACAGCATCAGTACATCAATTCATATTCTGGTTTCCCTAGGATAGTTTTCAGAGAAGCTCATAGAAAGATGTTAAAACTATAAAATTAACCAAATGGTTGGTGGGGCATAGATAATAGATAGTAATTTATGTAAAACATGTTGTCAAAAACCACCAGCCAGTTTTAAAATCTTTCAAAAGACAAATCGGCTTCATGGGGTTGATCAAATACTTTGGGTTTGATAATAGAAGGACTTACCAGAATAGAATCTTGAAAAAAACTGCAGTGTAGCCTTTGAAAGAAAAAAAAACACCTTTCATTTTGGCAGAAAAGTCTTTCGAAGCAGATTTCTATGGTTTAAAAAAGGAATTAATAAATGTATTGGATGAAACTTAAGCTTCATGCATTTCGACTTCCCGGACTCCAGTATTTATAGTTCGAAGGACTGCAGCTTATGGAACTTTAAAAGGCCTCTTTTTGCACGCATAGCTGGAAAACCATTGCCAAATAAAATACTTGGTAGATTAATGGGCTAATTTGGCATAAAACCAATCTAGAATGTTCTCGTGCTTTTAGCTGTGCAACCTTACATTCCAGAAATAGTTACATTTGTTTTAATTAATGTAATAAAATAACATGGTCTAAGGCAAGTTTTCATATTTTTCTTCATGTTTCCAGCCATCTTTAGACACAGTAGAAGGTGAAGGAAACACCCAGAAGAAGATCTCTCCGAAGAAATCCGAGGAGCTACCAACTACCTTAAGTGCAGTGGGTCTCCCTTCAGGACCCAGCCAACAGATGGATGCCAAGTATGCATGCCCTGTGGACCCTTATGGGTGTCAGGCAGTGATAGTGGCAAAAAAAAATTAGTTCAATCAATCAGATGAGGTTTTGGGAACTGGGGAGGGGCAGTAGATCCTTTACACAGAAATGTGGTTCACTCATTTTTGTCGGCCATAGCTGCCTTCTTCTTGGTTGCACATACACAATTTCATCTTGCTTTGTTCTTTGGGCTACTTTAGAGCAAAGTTTGTTTTCAGATAGCCAATCAAGCAGCCGCATAGAAGGAGCATTTTTTTCTTAGCTCAAATCCCAGCCTGCTCTTATTTATCTCTATCTACATCTTCAGCTGTTTTCTATTATTGTCAGATCTACTTTCAAGAGTCCATTGCGGAGACTCTTGGCAAAAAGAACAGACAAGAAGAATGTCAAAGAGTATTCTGAAGTATATGAGGATACTAGTGAGACTATTCCACTCTTCTCCTGCATGTTGCCAATGGAGCCGACAGTGACGCAGAAGGCAACGGAAGGTAAATTTTGGCACCTGCTGTCTTCTCTGATGCCAAACTTCATTGGGCCATTGCTAGAAGAGCACCTTGTTCTCTGATGCCTTGGAAGAACTATGTATATAGATCAGAGTGGGAAGCCGAAACCTCCAGGTCTCATACACAAACAACATCCTCCCAAGTTCTCCAGTGTACAAATTGAACATTTTTCTAAGCCTCTGTCACTTCAGTGGAGCAGGATATTGATGTAGAGAGAGGGGAGGAATGAGGAGTAGGAGGAAAAAATGGATTATGTTACCCTATTTAGGATACCCCCAAATTTAAAGGGCTTCCTATCTCTAATGCAGATGAGAATCACAAGCTGTTTATCTTAAACCAGCTGAGCCTATTGGTTGGGGGGGGGAGAGGGAAGAAAAGCTCTTAATCTTGCATTGTTTTTTCCCATTTCCAGCTCCCTCTGGGCCTCCTAATCACCCACCTTTGGAGGAACGCCAGACAAAAGAATTCGGCAAAGCTAAGAGGAACCGTACCATTAAGATCAGCAAAGCCAAAAGGGCGCCAGAGAAATGGAAGGCACCATTTTTAAGGGAGATTGCAAATGCTAGTGAGCTGAAATATTTGGATGAATTCCTTCTGAACAAGGTGAGGGACAGCAGTTGGGTATGAAAACCAAATAAAGCACCCATTTAAGCAATGATAATACATGGAATGTGTAATTGATTTTCCTGGTAAGTTATATTCTATAGAGCCGAGGTGGCGCAGTGGTTAGAGTGCAGTACTGCAGGCCACTTCAGCTGACTGCTATCTGCAGTTTGGTGGTTCAAATCTCACCGGCTCAAGGTTGACTCAGCCTTCCATCCTTCCGAGGTGGATGAAATGAGGACCCAGACTGTGGGGGCAATATGCTGACTCTGTAAACCACCAAGAGGGGGCTGAAAGCCCTATGAAGCGGTATATAAGTCTAACTGCTATTGCTATTGCTATTCTAACTCGGGAGTACCTAGTCTAACCCAGGGATTCCTCAAACATTCTCTCAATTTGCAATATTTATAGTCTGCAAAAGTTACCCAGGACTCTGGATAGAATCAATAAAATCATAATTAGATAAAGAAAAACAACAGCATACAAGTATTTAAAAGTCCATTAAGCAATTAAAAACCACATAAGGTCCCAATAGTTTAAACTACCTAAGAGCCAGATAGTCACTGAAATAATACTACTCCAGCTAGTTTATGAACTAATAATAGCCAGGGACCTTCCCTTCATCTTAAGGGAGAATATTCAATAGAAAGGGGCTGATCCAAGCACCATGTATCTCTTAAAGAGGAGGGGATCCACAGCTAGCCCTCATTTAATGAGTAGACTAAAGGGACATGTTCACTTCAAAGTACTGCCTGATTTATGCCTCTGCAATTGCTGAACAGGTTTTAATAACCAGCATTTTGAATTGGTCCCAGAAGCCAACTAGCAGGCAGTGTAGCAATTTAAGGTTCAATGTTATTTGAACCTGGATAGCGTTCAAAATTCTGGCTGCCCTGTTTGTATCAGATTGGCTTTCCAGCCATGTCCAAGGCAATCCCATCAGTGGTGGGTTTCAATTTTGTTTACTACCGGTTCGCTCATGCGTATGCATGCGCAGAAACGTCAGGGCGAGTGGGCAGAGCCTCCCGCCACCACTTCTGGTTTGCCCAATCCGGGCTGAACCGGAAGCAACCCATCCCTGGATCCCATGTAAAACACATTACATTGTTTGTTTCCCAGTACTTTTTTTTCCTGTTCCAAAATATGAACATGCACAAATTGGCATCTCATACATCAGGGATCCCCAACTCCTGGAACACAGACCGGTACTGGTCCATGGCCCACTAGGAACGGAGCTGCACAAGTGAGCACAACTTCATCTGCGCATGTGCAGAATCTAGGTAGTACATGAAACCATCCCCCCAACCCAATCCGGGGTGGGGGGGAATCCTGGTCCTCTGTAGAGCCCAAAAGATTTAGGGTCTGCTGTTATACGTCTTCATATAATTTATCCTAATATCAGGATCATCAATGCAGAATTGAAGAGGGGAAAACGTCCAAAGAGCATAGTGTGAGCTTTTTTAAAGGGAAGATTACAGAACATTCTTCCCCTTTCATGTATTGTTACTCTCTTTTTTTTTCTTCAGATCAATGATCTTCACTCTCAGAAGTCAGCCATTGAATGCTTGTTTTTTGAAGCCACTGAAAAGTTCCGTGGGAATATCAAAACCATGTATTCTGCTCCTGTAAGTAGCTTGTGAGGAGGGGATGTCAAAATAAAGCACCACTGGCTTAAATGGAAGAGAACAGCATTAAAACAAAAATTGTCTATGAAATATTTGCAGAAGTCATTGACAGCTGGGGAATCAGTAAAACAACTTCATTTGCACATGGAGGACTTTTTAAATATTGACTGGAATCTGTGTTAGCAATGATAACGTGTTCAATAAGCTAGGCCTTCAGTTTGTATAGTTTTTATTAGTAAAAAGGAAATAAGCATTATATTAAATCTGCACTGTAATTCCATTTTTTTTCAGTTATAACTGTAACAATGTTATTCATTGTAATTATATTCCACTTTTCCTCCAAAAAGCTTCAAGTAAATGTATGTACCATATTTTCCTCCAATTTTCCCATGAAACAACTATGAATTAGATTGAGCTGAAAAATAGGAAGTAATCCAGAGAGCTTCAGTGGCAGTATTTATATATGAATACTGATCTCCCCATCCTTGCACAACACCTTCCTCCCAGTACATCTTTTCTTTATATCACACTGGCTTTCTGAATTGCTAAATTGCTTAACAAAACACTAACTTATTTAATAGCTCTCCTACATTTTAGAACACAAAATTTATTAACATAGCCCTGTTGGATCAGATCTACAATAAAATCGAGTTTGACACCCCTGTACTAGGTAAATGAAATTTCAGACATAAAGAGTGAAGGTTGCAAGCTTTTGCTACTGCTCCCATAAGTCTGACATATCAGAGATAGATTGCCTCTGAACAGGGAGGTTTGGTTTAATATCCCAGACTTACTGTTATAAACCTCCTCCTGCTCTTTAATGAATTCATTTGATCCTTCCTTTAAACCTGTTTAACCTCTTAAAATATGTCCTAATTTTCATAATTATACATTAAAGTGTTTTTTTCTCCTGAATTAACTGTCTAACCTAAGAGTACTGAAGAAGCTTGAGTTGGGCTAAGTTTCAACAGTTATGATGCTGAAAATTCCATAACTTTTGGGAAAGGTCTGACTGTGGTACACATATGCTGTGCTTATGGTTGAGCACTGTGGAACATCGATGAGGAAACATTCTGTTTTCCACACCACTGATGCATCCTAGCTCAACATCCCTACTTATTTCTACCATCTTTCCACAGAATGAACAGATCCATGTTGGCTACAGAGACCTGATGGAAAACTACCAACTCCTCGTGGTCAACATGGCAAAACAGAAAGAAGAGAAGGATGTGAAACTGGTCTTGAATCTTTTCCAGTCTCTTCTGGACGAGTTTGCCCGCAGCTATGCAAAAAAAGAAGAACCAGAACAACACAAGGTCTCACATTTATATCCTTGGAACCTATTTGAATTCTTAAAATTGGGTTTTTTTCATGGAAAGTTTTGACATGAGTAGTTTTCTTCTTGACTCACTTAAAAAGGGGATTGCATGTATCATTATTTCTTCATTATTATCTCTACACAAATAAATCACTTCAATTAACTATAATCCAAAGTATTATTTTCCAACCTTGGCAATATCCAGATGTCTATGGGCTCCAAATCCCAGAAATCCAAACCCCGCATGAGAGTTCAATTTCAATTTCAATTTAATAAAATTTGTATGCCGCCCACTCCCTTGGGACT